AACTTGTGTGTTTGGAGGAACAACCCCCCAAGATAATTCTGTCTCTATGTGTGTCTCTATGAGGAATGACTGGTCTACTTATTTTGAATCTTTCTCATAGACAAACATACAGAATTTTATTTGATTGTCATGATCTGCTCCTAAAGAAATTTTCTTCTGGCCAACTGCCAACACCATTGGTGTGGTTTCTCTCTCTCTCTGTGGTCCACATTTCCCCATGAATGTGTTAAATGCCTGTGATTTACAAGTGCAGGAGGTAGGATATTTTGGACTGATGGGCACAATTGAACTGCAAAATGTATATGTATGTGCAAAAGAGGGCCTATGATTCTGGTAGTTCCAACAGCTAGGGAGGTCGGACTGCTTTCCCTGTCTACCCAGAGCTGGGCCCTCTCCCACCACCTCCCACCATCTCAGGAAGCTATCAGGCATGAGAACATGCAGGGATCTCTGGGACCTACTATTTATTTTTGGGGAAGACTTAAGTATTCATAACTATAGTCCAAAAAGAAATGTTTTTATTCAGTAATCAGTCCTGAAGGTGTTTTTGAAAGAATGGCCTAAAATATGGTGTGAATGTGACTCTCTTTTCAAGTCTGGAAAGAAAAAGGAAAGCCACAGCAGGAATAACTCACTGTGTGAGGCAGATAACCTTCAGACAACGGGAAAAACCAAACCTGCTAGTCAGAGATATAAAAAAATATCAACTTCTACCTTGTGTTGCCAAGGAGACGGTGTAAACGGACTTAAACAAAGAGAAGTGGCTGGCTGGCAGCGGGGCTAATGTGGAAAAGCTCTTCATTGTGTGACATGCTTCTTTTCAAAGGAGTAGGAAGAGGTGGCAGGCACACAGGGAGGAAAGCAAGAATGGGGGTCTTTTTTTTTCTTTTCTCAAAGCAAGCTGTGAGAGAAGCCTGACAGACAGTGTGTACCTCTTCATAAATGACCTAAAAACAAAGCGTGTGAGCCTGGTGCTTTGTCTCGGGAGTCTGTTGATATGAAAGTCCCCGCACTTAGACTGGCTATGTGAGGGAGTCTTGGCAGGGGATCTCCCATTAGACATTTTGCCTGATTGCTTGAGGCTTCCTGGACAGAATGGTGCCTGGGAGATGGGGAGAGGGCAAAGAGCTAAGTGCAGGTCTCCAGGAAGTCATCCTAAGCAAAGGCAGTCCCCTACAACTTTCTCTCTTCATCCCGAGGCGATTCCTAACACAACTTCATGTCCAGTAATAATTATTTCTCCTTCATTATTAAATCCACTAAAGACATATGGGACATTTTAGGAAAATACAGTGAAGTTACAAGTATTCCTGTGCCCTCAGGACGTTCACACTGTATGATACACAAAAACACTTCTTACTTTATTTTATCTTTTTAAGTTTGGTGAGAAAGAGTTTGTGGATTTATACCACCATGTATCCACATGATTACAAATGTGCAAAACTGTTGAGGCAATAAAAAAAATAGTTCATGGGGATTAATGGTGCATAGAGTATGATTTTTTTCCTTCTATTAATCTTCATCTCTAGATTTTCTATAATGTGGCTGTGTGGATTTATTTATGCGATGAGAATCTATTGTTTGTTAATGTGAGTCTGATTTTAGGCTTTGGTTTGCAGCTTATTTCCCTGCCGAGTTTGGGATGATTAAGTTTGACGAAGCCCAGATATTAGTAGGTTCTTTTTGCTATTTGTTTCCTAGTGGTTGTTTGCGTTTTCCCCAGACAGCAAGATGCCTTTTTGAACGTTTCTTTTCAGACCTTTCATCATAGAAGGGCTTGCATTAAAAGGAGATAAAGTAACGTTTCCAACCTTTCCATGCTTCACTGGCTTCTTCCCATCATGCAGACAGCAAATGTGAGAACTGGTAGTTACACAATCAAAGAAAACAAGTTCTTTTAATAGCCGAGTCATCAGTAGATGAGAAATTGAAACAAGATTGGGGTCTTCAGTCATTTCCCTACATTGTAAGGTCAAAAGACAGGGTCACACTTCATAAGGAGGCAGCCAAAAAATGCAGTGCTCAAAGCTGGTATGTTGAGTGAATAACATACCCTTTTTCTATGAAACCACTCCCAATCTGAGTGTTAAACAGGCTTTTCTTTTCTTTGTGGGCTGTTAGAATCCTGCATCAGACAGCCCTTTCAAGTAAGGTCATCATACAGCACAAAGCTAAGTGTGACTAAGTTACTATCTTCCACACTGGAATGCACCATCTTCTCACAGAAATGGCTTCAAACTTACAAGCCTTTTATTGCAAATTTCCTTCCAGAGAGTCCTCATCTTGGGCTTACATGTTATACAACGCAGGGTAATGGAATCCTAACACTGTCTTGTCAGCCGGAATAGTCTATAAATAGTCAGAACCTTCAAACCCTCTGGACCCAAACTCTGCATTCTTGTTCTGCAAGATTGACAAGCTCATTATGACAATGTTGACATCTTCCTTTGAGAGTCCAACATGTGTAGTTGTAATTCCATGTATGTTAACGAGGAAGCAATTACAGTGTAGAGTGAATCTTTAGGCAGATGTGTGAGGCCCCCTCTAATTAGAGACAATACAGGATGGATCCCCAGCATCCATCTTTCTATCTATGCCTTTCATCTTGCCTCTTTCCAACGTTTCTATTTCCTTTTAAATTTCCCACTTGCCCTTCCTTTTCTCTTTTTTTCCTCCTTTCCCATAAAATGACAGACCTTTTCTGAGATTCCTCTTTTCTATGGCTGAGCTTAAAGCAAGAATTCTATCCGACTGGTTGTTGGTCAACATCTGCAAATGTGAGAGAATTTCAGCATGATAAACAAGAAGGAATTTGAAATAAACCTCTCCCCCCCCCACCTCCATGGTGGAAACGATGATATCCCCATCATCTGCCTGCTCACAGGCTGGAAGTGGGCAGAGAACCAGCTGGAGGCACAGCCCAGGGCAGGCATCCAGAGCTTCAGCGTCCTAGAAGCTCTGATGTCCCTCCAGTCCTGTACATTCGCAGGGGAAATGCTTTCATTTTCTGTTTTGTAAAGGGAAAATCTTCACTCTAACGTGAGGGAGGGGGCAATGTGGAGTAGGGGATGGTATTCTAAACTCCATTTCTGGGTACTTTGGTGTTTACCGTCAGTGCTCCTTTACAGTTGTGGGATTTGGCTTCTGTAACTCTACCATTGGAATTTGGTTCCCTCGTTTGTCAAGTTGAGTGGGGGGTCTCCATCCTGAGGATTCCAGGACTCTCAGAAAAAATATATGCAGAATTAAAAGAAGAACGGGAAAAGTGAGTATAGGGCTCTTGCCTTTGCTTTTGTGTGGTAAGAATAGGCTCTCTTTGCATCTTTACAACATTTCTGTGAGGCACGATTTCAGCTAGCCAAGGAAACAAATGCTATGGATTTTCTAGCCACGTGTTCAGGAAAACCGAGCCAGAGCAGCAACTTCTGCTCAAAGGATGGAGCAAGGATTCCAATTCACACCCTTCCTGGCACCATCTTTGTGTCCACGTGGGTATCAAACCCGAAATCAGGGTCATTGTATAATGACCCTAGGAGAACATCACTGTTCGACTGGTCCTGAGACCAGCAGAAGCCACAGTAACCATCATTGGTGATACGGCACTATCTGCACAAAAAGCTGTCTTTTATCCTTGTAAGTTATTTGAACGTGGTAAGTTATTTAACATACCACTTAATCTTGACTCTTAAATGAACGACACTGGTCCCTCTAGACCCAAACTGAATGCTACACAACACAGTCTAAAGACACTTCAGATTGTGGAAGAAGGCTGAACTGGTATAGCATATGCAATCATTTTTCAGAATGGCTGCCCAACTTCTGAGGGAGTCCTTCTAATAAGTTTTAAAACTGTGGTTCCTTGACCAAAACATACTTTTGTGAATTTAACCATGTACGACCGCCATGACATCTGTGTGTACATTCATATGACAGAAGCTCCTGGGAAAATGCAAATCACCTTTATCTTCCCAGTTGTTCTATGACGCAGCTGTCTAGGACCCTGTGGGCTATATTTAGTTTTCTCATTTTCTGTCTTAAAGTTGTTCCCTTAGACTGTGTAAGGTTTTGTGTGTGTGTGTGTGTGTGTGTGTGTGTGTGTGTGTGTGTGCGCACGCGTGTGCGCGCGCGTGCGCGCGCGCATGCTTGGGTTTTGTTTTTCATGTCACTCAATATTTCCTGATAGTTGGTCAGGCGGTCTGGTATGGGCATAGAAGTCTGCAGAAGAGCCTAGAATCCTACCCTCAGACTCCGAGTTGGGTTTTCTCCAGAATGATTTGAGGCCAAAGGCATATCCTGTATCCACAGGGGTGGGGATGCTGGGACTATTCATCCAATCTGCCACTTGAGGAAGCTTTTGGCTGTCTCTGGCAGTCTCTCCTTCAATGCGGCTTATGGAGATGGAGTGGGTGGAGGAGAATCCTACCGACAAATTTCTATCAGCAGGTGAGTTCACCAGCTAGTCCAGCCTGGGAGTTTCCTCATTGTCACCTTTCCAAAATTTAGGATTATGACCATTGAGAAGAAGAATAAGAAGAATGAAATACTTATCTTATCCATATATACACACACGGATACACACATATATCACAATACATACATGCATACACAAACATATATGTGATACATTATATATGTATATATCCCCATCATTCTTTCTTTGGCCTCTTATTATTATTTTTTGTCTCTCTTTGCAGGCAATACAGTTTGTGGTAAGGATATTATCAGTAAATTCCCAGACACAAAAAAAATGATTACCAAGATAGCCACCATTTCCAAAATCATATCACTTTATGGCAACTCCCCTTGAATAATCTGATCTTGCTAGAGTTAAGGAGAACAATTAATTCTCTTGCTTTATGAAGCAAGGTGATTATATACATAAAAACTTTCAAATCCATACCCGTCCAGTCAGGAGAGGGCTTTGTCTCTGCACTGCTCCCTATGTGTCAAGGAACCAATGAAACTGAATTGCTCCCCGCCCCCTTCTTTTTCCTTTTTAGATGACCTGTTCAACATTCTCCACCGGATTTTTATTGCTTTGTTTTGCCCTCTGATGGGATGGCCGATCTACATCCTCACGGGAACTCAGGATTCCAAAGTTAATGCAGCATTTTCCACGGTAAAGATGGATGATGGTCAACTCTCTAATCCAGCAGCGGGGCAGAGCAGAACAGGATGGGAAGGGCCACGCCTACTCTGACTTCGCTCTCCAGCCACTGACTAGTGGGGGGCGTACTGACAATAATTAGGCAAACAGAATGCCAAACAACTGTGGGGAAAGCTGTCAAACATTTTGTGTTATTATCCTGTGCACAGGCCTGTGATTTAACATCGTAGGAAAAGCACAGTAAAAGGAAAAAAAAATCTCAAAAGTGACATTTTGTTCAAATTACAGGCCTCGGCATCCCTGACTGCCTGCACACTGGCGTTTCCAGTGTCAGATGTAACATTCAGCAATTTGTTCCCTCATTAAGCGGCATGTCTGGGATGGGTCCTGGCCACGGTTGCCAGCTACCGCTGCGCTGAGAACAAGAACACATTGCTTCTTGAAGCACGAGGGGCCATGTTCCTTTTTCAGATTCCCAGGGTCATGTTGGTTGAAATTAGGATCTTTTGCACGTGATCTTACTTACTATATCACTTCTTCCCTCTGTACCCAAGACACTGTTTGGGATTCTGGACTTGACTGATGCCTATTTTAAGGACTGATCTTTTCAGCATAGAGTCAAATCCCCCGATGTTATCCCACAATGGTTGTAATTGAATTAGCAAGGACAAGAAATGGGAATGATAATCTCCTCACACTGTCTCTTTAGTGTCTGGCACAGTCATGAACTGGGAGGAGTACCCCAAAGAGACATGTTTGAAGAGCAGAGGTGAGGAAAGCCTATGGGTAGTTTCTAAGTCAGGACTGGGTTGCTAGGCATTGGCGCTAAAAACCAGTCAATAGTCAAGCTTGTTAAAGAATGAGACAATCAGGCCTGAAGTTCTGAGTGGGAACTCTCTCGATACCAAGGTGAAGCACCTTCCCACTGCAAATACCCGACTGCTTGGAGATTTAAGATCGGGGTCTTCTCCGTTTCCATTAACCCGTCCAACATAAGGGTTCCCATAAGAGAGAGACTCTCTTCTCTTCCGAGTGCCTTACTGGATGGATAGTCCTTTCTTTCCACCCCATTATCAGGACTCTTTCCTGCCCATTTCCTTGCCTTCTCATATGTACACTCACAGCAGAACCAGTCTATAGAAGGAGTCTCTGTGGTCTGTGTTTAGACAGTGCCACTGATGTAGCAAACCTTATGTTTTCTTTATTTCTCCTAAGTGGCTTTTGAACATTAGGAACAGCCAATGGCCCTACTACACAGAGAAATCGAGCCTCAGTTTTCCCCTTCAATATATATCCACCTCTGTAATTCTTTTCTTAAGGTACAGAATAAATGCTTCTGTGTTTTCTGTTGGGTGCCCAAGGATCTCTCACCAGGTTTAGTCATATTGGGTGGCATATGGGGTGCTCCCTAACTATCCCTAGCTATCTTCCCTACAATATTGTCTATGTTCAACGTCTCATTCCCCAAACCGTCGACAGTGAATTCAATTAATTAAATTAACAACTTAGATTTGAACACTTGCTGCACCTCAACCCAACCAGCGCTGTCTGTGTTTGTATGTTAGCGGTGGCTTGTTTCCTTAGTCCAGGACTCTGACCGGAGAGTCCACTAGGTTTCTCTTCCTCTCTCTATTTCCAGCTTTTTAGTATTTTTCTATATAGATAAATGTTAATCTAAATCCGTCAAGCTGCTTTAGGACAAATAGAATAGGGACCTGGTATGGAATGATCAGAGAATAATTTATTTACTATAAATTGTTATTTACCATAGATAAACAACTTGAAGAGTCTATAGCTTATGGAGGGCAGGCCTGTACTGTCTACTTAAGTCATTTTTAGTGACTTTTTTAAAAACCAATTTTCAGCAACTTTGTTTTTTTGTCCCATGAGCTCCCAACCTACTTTATTACTGATCATTGTCAGATAATATCACACACACACACACACACACACACACACACACACACACACACACACAGAGAGAGAGAGAGAGAGAGAGAGAGAGAGAGAGAGAGAGAGA